AGACCAGCTACTAACCAACAACATGAACCTCACAAAAGAGAGAAACCAGCTACTAACCAACAACATGAACCTCACAAAAGAGAGAAACCAGCTACTAACCAACAACATGAACCTCACAAAAGAGAGAAACCAGCTACTAACCAACAACATGAACCTCACAAAAGAGAGAAACCAGCTACTAACCAACAACATGAACCTCACAAAAGAGAGAGACCAGCTACTAACCAACAACATGAACCTCACAAAAGAGAGAAACCAGCTACTAACCAACAACATGAACCTCACAAAAGAGAGAAACCAGCTACTAACCAACAACATGAACCTCACAAAAGAGAGAAACCAGCTACTAACCAACAACATGAACCTCACAAAAGAGAGAAACCAGCTACTAACCAACAACATGAACCTCACAAAAGAGAGAAACCAGCTACTAACCAACAACATGAACCTCACAAAAGAGAGAAACCAGCTACTAACCAACAACATGAACCTCACAAAAGAGAGAGACCTGTTGAAATCAGAAAAAAATGAACTTCAGACGCTTTTTGCTGGTAAGTTTCTTCAGTCTTACTAGTCACTTGCTTTAAAGCAGACTCAAATTTTAAAGTGGAATGAATTGGATCTGTTGTGTTGGGGTCATGTGGCTAATGCTCATATTGGACTTTAGTGTCATGTTTATAATGATTTATAATAATAATAATCAGTTTAGGGATGTCAACGGAGTCTAAATATTAATAGATAATTTAAGACATATTATTGTAGTGGATGAGTAAATGGTTAAATAGACATTGCAACAAGTGGCTTTATAAGTCAATATTCATATCATTGAGCATGAGCATTTCATTACAGCTTTTCTTGATTGCACAATTCATGAAACAATTCACCATTTTCTCACAACTATAAACAATCTCAAAACTACACACCAACTTATGCAAATCTCAAACTGCCAGGTCAAAATCAAATATTTTAGTCAAAAACATAGTATCTTTTGTCAGAATCAAACTTTGTATTTGTCAGGTTTGTGTGTCAAAGCCACAGACTACTTCACTGTCTAGAGAATAGTAGTGATGTTACGTACTGCTCTGAGACTTGACAGGTTGGAGGTCCAAATGCAGCTTTATTGGGAGAAACCAGAAACGTGATCCGAAATACAGGCAACAGGTCAAAACACAGGCAGGCAATCCAAACAATAGACAAGGCAGGAAACTCAGACAAAGGGAAAATCCCAAGAAACAGGCAAGAGAGCAAAAAACCAAGAGACAAATCCAGGGAGAATGCTCAGAAATGCAGTATAACAACTAACAAGACTTCGCAAAGAATGACAAACTAAACCAGGCTTATATAAAATGAGCAGACAGTGTAAATGAGCCACAGGTGCAGACAATGAGTATTGATGGGTCCATGCAAAGGATTATGGGAAATGGAGTCCGGAGGTAAATGGTAAGAGTCTGGAATGGAGTGCCCTGTAGTGAAGCTCACGGACTCTCCAGCTAGAGATCGTGACAGAGCCCCCCCACCAAGGAGCGGCTTCCATACACTCCAAACAGAAGAGACTAAAGTCCAGGAGGGAGGTGGAGCGGAGGCGGAACAGGTGGAGGGATGGAGGGCCAGGACCATGTAGAAGAGGAGGGAAGAGGACAGAGGCCTAGCCGCCAGAGCTGGGAGCAAGGGCGGAGCTGGCAGAGCAGGGAGCCAGGGCGGACTGGTATGACAGAGAATACACTGATGGTCTCCATGACCTCATCAGAACAGAGAAAGAGTTCATAAGTGGACACTCCTGACACCTCTGGAGGATTTGCAGTGGATGCCGCCACCTCTGGAGTTTCTGCAGCAGTAGCATCAGGAGCTTCAACAAACACAGAGACATCGCTTGCGGTCGTAACAGAGGCATCAGGAAACAGGAAGAGTTCAGAAACATTCTCCTTAACAGGACAGGTATGGAGTTCAGCAACGGTCCCTTCGACCGTGACATCACAGGCTGAGAGTGCATTGCTGAACCTCTGGAGAAACTGCAGCGGGCGCCATCGCCTCTGGGGACACAGCAGGGAGCGCCACTACCTCGGGAGGTTCTGCACCATCAGCCGCCACCTCTGGAGATATCATAGTGGACAGGGGAATCAGTTCAGGAACAGGAGGGCACTCTGGAGAAGCAGACACTGAAGGGCGCACTGGAGGAGTGGACACTGGAGGGCATTCAGGAGTGGACCCTGGAATGGATTCTGGAGCAGACTCTGGACAACGATCAAACTCTGGAGCGGTTTCATGGACTAGAGCTGGATCCCGGCTGAGCTCTGGGGTGAGAGCGGGCTCTAGACTGAGCTCGGGGGCTGGAGCCTGCACTAAACTTTGGTCAGGGGCTGGAGCCGGCACTGGACTCTGGTCTAGAACAGATACCCTCTCTGGACCAAACTCGGGATCAGGATCTCTCTCTGGGCTAAACTCAGGAACAGGAGCCCTCTCTGGGTTAAACTCGAGAACAGAAGCCCTCTCTGGGATAGACTCGGGAACAGGAGCCTTCTGTGGGCTAGACTTGGGATCAGGTTCGGAGAGTAGAGTGGGCGCCACCACCTCGAGAGGTTCTGCAGTGAATGCTGCCACCTCTGGGGAAACAACGGTGGTGTGTGTGGCCCATACACAGAGAATGGCCGTAGCCATAACTGGCAGGACAGAGAGTACATTTTCTATTTCAAAGACTGACGGCTCTATGCCTGGAGAACTGGGGTGAGTAGTGGCCGGTAGGCTTTAAAGTGTATGAACGGTGTCCCTTGAGAACGTTGGTTTAGGGATACTAGATGCGTGTACTGACACCAGCGGTGGATTCTCCACACTGGATGTCAGTCTGAGATACCTTAGAACTGACTTCGAAGATCTGTGTACAACAGACGGGACGTGAAGAGACTCTGGACGATCAGCTGTGACTTGACGTGACTCAGAAAGATCAACGGTGATTTGACTTGACTCTGAAATGACATGAGCAAACTTTGACTTGGCAGACTTGACGTGAGCAAATGTAGGAACAGCAGTCATGATGGGACAAGACCCTGGAACAGCAGCCATGACGGGACGAGACTCAGGAACGGCGGCCATGACGGGACGAGACTCAGGAACGGCAGCCATGACGGGACGAGACCCAGGAACGGCGGCCATTTTGTGGAAAGTTTCTGATCATTTTGCAAACAACCTCTGTGTTGGCAGCCATTTTATGATAAGTCTCTGGGCTGGCGATCATCTTGTGGAAAGGCTCTTGACCGGCAGCCATTACGTGAACAGACTCTGGTGTGGTGCCTAGTTCCTCCTCAGCGACATCCACAGTGAATACAGAGCCGCTTAAAATAAGTGCATAGTCCATAAAGTCCTTTAAACTACAACTGAACTTTCCTTTAGGGAACCATGATTTAATAGGCTCATTAAATCCAAAACGAAAAAAGTCCTTCAGCGCAACTTCTTTGAATGGTACACAATAGGATAACTCACGAAACTGCTGTACATAATCCTCGATCAATAAATCCCTCTAACGTAGACACAATAACTGATTAACCAGATCCATAGTGATCTGGATGACACTCAGCTGCTGGATCTGTAAGTGGCGAAGTCTTCTGTTACGTACTGCTCTGAGACTTGACAGGTTGGAGGTAGAGGTCTACATGGAGGACCCGAGACCCGAAGACCCTGGACCCGACCCGGGATCTGTACGGGTTCGGGGCTATATTATAAATGGTCAGCCGGGTCCGGGTCGGGTCCCAATCTATTACTTCGGGTCCCGGGTCTGTTTAACATTGTGTGTGCATATGGGAGGACCATCTTGCATCCCTTTGGATGTGCATCTGTGGTCTGTGTTGCCATTTGGCGTGCTGTTAGAAAGCATGAGTCCAACTCCATGATTTCTCCCGAAACCTAGTGCGCTGCCTATGCAGGCAGCATTTTAAGGTATTATAGACTTAATCCAGACAACAAGCCTGTTCTAAACTAGGCATCATAATTATGCTAGTTATGTTATGCGTAAATATGTCAAGACATACATCATTTAAAAAGTCTGTTATGTTCACCAAGGCTGCATTTATTTGATCAAAAATTCATTGAATTAATAGTATTATTGTGAAATATGGTTGCAATTTAAAATGAGTTTTCTTTTTAAATATATTTTAAAATATATTTTAAAATGTTAATTTGTTCCTGTGATGGCAAAATTGATTTCAACATTTTCAGCTGCCATTACTCCAGTCTTCAGTGTCACATAGAGGTCTACACGGAGGACCCGAGACCCGAGGACCCGGGACCCGACCTGGGATCCGTACGGGTTCGGGTCTCTATTTTAAATGGTCAGCCGGGTCCGGGTCGGGTCCCAATCTATTACTTCGGGTCCCGGGGTCTGTTTAACATTGTGTGTAATACCCGAGTCGATCGGACTCTGAGAACACCCGGACGTTTTCAGAGTCAGTCAGCGCTGTGCGTGTGTTGTTTTGTAACTTTCAACTTGTAAAATTAGGATGAGAAAAGTGTGAGTTGGTAATTTGAAATAAGGTGGAGAAAAAAAAACAAAAAAACACGAGCAACGTCATCAGAAGCAGGGTGGGCGGAGTTAATGCATACGCACGGTGGTAATGGATACCTTCATGAGTGATGTGAGTTATTATTGATTATTTTTAAAATAATATTATGAATGAACTGTCTTGTTGTTATATCTAAAATTTTTGCTCAGACTCTGCTCAGAGAGCACAGAGATGATAGCAAATAAGTAAAGCTAACGTCAGCAGCCATGGCACTGGACGAGCAATCGTTATTATAATCCAAATGGGCAAACAGTCTAAATTATTATGCAAGTTGACTCGAGATACAAAAAATGCAAAACTGCAAAGTCGCATTTGTCATCCGTCACCGTGACAGCAAGTGGACTTTTGAAACTGGAATAATGAGTGGATTACGCATTTCAATTGGCAAGAGAGGAATAACATGGATGGAACTTTCTTGGCAAGGAGGATTGTGTGCATCACAGTCAGGTACAAGGGAGAAGGCTTCTTACATTAGGTAAGACAAAAAGTTTAATTTTCGCAACTTGTTTATCGACTTGTTAATAGCAATTTGCTGTGGAACATGTGCCGATCGGTTCCAGTCGGGTCTGTGTCTTCCCGGCCGGGTTCGGGTCCATCTTTCAAATAATTGACGGTCTGCGTCGGTTCCAGGTAGTACATTTTTGACATTTCTCGGTTCTGCACGGGCCCGGTTCCAACTTTCAAAATAATATTGGGACAAACCAGAGACGTGATCCGAAATACAGGCAACAGGTCAAAACACAGGCAGGCAATCCAAACAATAGACAAGGCAGGAAACTCAGACAAAGGGTAAATCCCAAAAAAACAACAAAAAAAAACAGGCAAGAAATCAAATAACCAAGAGACAAATCCAGGGAGAATGCTCAGAAATGCAGTATAGCAACTAACAAGACTTCGCAAAGAATGACAAACTAAACCAGGCTTATATAAGGTGAGCAGACAGTGTAAATGAGCTACAGGTGCAGACAACGAGTATTGATGGGTCCATGCAAAGGATTATGGGAAATGGAGTCCGGAGGTAAAT